ACCTGCCGCCTATAGCCCCCGACGCAGCTATGAGTCAATCTGACCTCTGACAACTGGAGGACAGGTGTGGCCTCACATGTGCTACCCACGCACGCACGCACGCACGCACGCACGCACGCACACACACACACACACACACACACACACAGTTATCTTACCAGGGTGAAGCTCTTGGGTGAGGCGGCCCACCTCTTGACGGTGGTGAGCGGCCACTCTTGCACCACATCTTTGGTCTTCTCGTCCACTCTCATCACAGACTCTTTGGTGATGCCCAGGAGGCGCGGCACCAGCTTGTTCTTGCTCTTCATCTTCTCCTGTGTAAGATAAAAAAACATGACGATGAACACATGTACCATGCTAACTTCTGTGAACTGTGCCGCGCCATTCTGTTTCCATTTTGTTTTTCCTCCAAAAGAGTGAACAACATACTACACAGTCAATCGTGAGTATTGTCTTCTTTTGGAGAGGAGAGATGTTGACACAGCTTTCCTATTGGATTTGATAAGATTGAGCATGTGTGTCTACGGATGAACTCACACACAGCTCTTGCCTTTGACGCATTTTGTTAGCATCGCTTGATTCTTGCCTGCGGACCAAAATAATTCATCTGTCAACCTGGATTGGAAACTCAAAATGGCTCCTAAGTGGAAACGTGACTGCAATGCTTTTCATATCGTCAGTGTCAATGCGCCCGGGTTTATCTTTGCAGCCTGTCAGAGAAAGGATTAAGCCCTGTCATAAAAATAGATAAGATGTATTCATACATCTGCTACCCGCACTATTGATTAAAACCTCCAATGACAGCCTTGATCTCGCTGAGGGACACTGGTGATTGTTTCATAAATAAATTATAAAACATTGAATAGTCTACATATTGAAGGGTGCACATGATGGAAAGTGGACTGTTTGCCTGTTCACAGTCAAAAGCTAAAAGCGCTACTCAGTTTTGGCTTTTGAAAACCGCCACGCAGACGAATCCTCGAAGAAGTTGGCAACTTTGTGGTTGGCAATGCGCTCTCTGCATACACCACATACACTCATCCACTATTTAATTCACAAGTATAATTAAGCAGTTTCATTGTGGTATACTGCCTCCAAGAGTTTAAAAAAATGAATCAATAAAATAAATTAAATACACATGATGCTTTAATGTCCTTCTGAAATAAGTAGTGACCCCCTAGCATGAAAGTCATTCTCACTTTGGCACGCTGCAGTTGAAGGGGCGGGCTGAGCAGTGACTTAGTTGTAAATCGTGATAAATGCGTATCACGACTCCTTTAATCTAATCCACATGTTTTTCAAATTCTTAATATTTTTTGCATATTTTAATTTATTTTTATTGGGTTTGCTGTTACACACAGGCAGAACAATTTCTTGGCAAAGGTCTGTTTTAGTCATGTAATGTGTCAATGTTATGACAATACAAGAAGGAAGAAGGACGTTTGGTTCCCAGATTAAATAAAATTAAAAAAATAAACATTTCCAATTCGGGTCTTTGGAAACCCTGCTTCAGATATGCAATTTTGGAAAAAGGGGAGGAATCGGTTTGAGACACAAACTGTATTTGTCATTACCAATTACTGAAGATTCTTTCAAAAGAAACCGAAAAAAAAAAAAGGTTTCAGGAGCCCCAGTACAGACGGTGAGCAGATGGACAGAACGTGACGTGGGGTCACAGAGGTCCACTTGTGTAAAAGTTATGGAGGGGAATGTCAGTTGCGTGGGGTCTCTTGGGGGTTATGAGGTTGGGGTTGCTGAAGGCCAGGCTATTTTTAAATGCTGCCGCTCTGTCGGATTACACTCAAGGCGGACCCCAAATGACAAAGGTCGAACGAATTCCACGTGAAAGCCGAGACGAGGCCGAGAGGCGAGCGTTTCAGATTTGTAAATTTCAAGATCAAAATAGAAGCAGTGCATATGTATCAATTATTTCCTGCCGATTATTTTGGATTTATCAATGTGGATTTCCTTTTTTACAAGGGGTATATTTTACAACTTCAATTTGATGGCATCATAACCTATGAAGACATTTACAGTAGATAGATGGGCCAGAAGAGTAAATTAATGTGAATTACCATTAAATAAAAGAACTCTAATTTGAGCTCATTAAAAAAAAATCTATACAAAATTCATTATTTCCCGTGTTGTCACTTAGGGCCACCACAGTTTTTCGGGAACGTCAATGCGGAAACTGAAATAAATCAGTCTATTTCGATATGGTATATTTATATCACTAAGTCACTTTGAAAAGTAAAACAATTACAATTGACTGAATTTTGGACATATTATGACATACAGGGACCTTTAAATGGGTAAGGGAGGAAGGAGCGAGGCAGCCAACCTTGTCAAGTTGCCTGTTGCAAATATGACGTTATGACTACTGCAAGTAATCAATTTACCCCGTGGATGAATAAAATAGCCAACTAATTGCTGCTATGTGTCCTATTACTGCTGTTACTACATTTTTGTTGTTGTCAAAGATGCTGAGAAAATAAACTAAAATTAGTGTCATTATATCATTATCGGATATTGTAGAATTGGCTAGCTTGAATAAATAAGTGTGCCTACGTTCAGGCTTAAAAAGTCTTAAATTTGACTTTGCTGAACTTGCTGATAACCTTCTTTCACCCACAGTTGAGGTCTGTTCTTTTGATAATGTTTTTCCATGACGTTTGTCCATATTACACCATAAAACGCGTTGTCAAGTGTGGTATGACATGTCATAAAATGTTAATATGGTCAAGGTAATCGGTAATTTCCGATCGCATTATAAGATCAAGAATGGGAGACCTTCTCTGAATAGAAGACATTGGTGGGTGAAAGAGGACGAGACATTTCGGGCTCAAAAATGAAATCCCTTTACAGTACAGTATGTTGGATTTTGCAGAAGTCCCTGAGTGTTCTTATGGTTTTGACTGGTTTTCACAGCATGCTCAAGGAAAATGGTCAGCAGGGATATTTGTTACAGGACATGAAAGGCAGTAAAAGTTGAAGTGGACCCCGGACACCAGCTGGATAATTTCCTTCAACTTCCTTTTTCATCCATTGAACCCTAAAAGCTCAGAGAAAAGATGTCACTCGGGAGATAAAAGTCTTCCACTTCATTCTTGCAATTTTTTGCTCTTTTCTCAATTAACTCAAACGCAATAAGAAGGTAGAACCGGAGGCTAGCTTTTCATCCTTGAAATGAAACCGTTGTGAGCTCACCTTCACCAAGAAGAACGACACTCCGTAAGTCCGCAGAGACCTTGCCAGTTTGACGTACTTCACTTTGGCTTCGATCTCTGTCATTTCGCCACAGTTTTTGTGTTCCTGAAAGTGACAATGCAGCTTTATTAAACTTTTGGAAGATTGGTTTTGTGTAGAAAACCTCATCAATAAATAACCACGTGGCCTCACCTGGAAAATTTTCTTCTCAGATCCTCTTTGCTTTATGTACTCTTTTGGAAGAAACTCCTTCAAGCTACAAAGATTTCAAAAGAACCCAGAAAATAAAAAAATGTGAAGAAGATGCTACATGTGGATAGACCATTTCTGTGAGGCAAAATGAAGATACATACTCTAAGAATCCAGGTTTGTGTTTGTGCTCAATATACGGTCCAAACTGGATCTGGGCCTGAATGCCGCCGAACTCGCCGGCCTTGTCGAAGGACACGGGGTGTGAACCATTCAAGATGTCATCTCGAGCCTAAAGGGGAAGTAAACTCCATTAACGTTAATCCTTGTGGTTAATATGTTACACCAAACTGACATCCATAAATGGAGGATTACTATTCCAAATAGAACGAGGGTGATAAAATGTCAGCGTCACCGTCTACTCTGAATCAGCATAGCTAACTGTGGGATGAAGTGGGGTACGCTCTGGACTGCTCGTCAGTCAATCATAGGGCACAAAGAGACAACAATTACGACTCAGATTTACACCTATTACAATATTTGAGCCTTCAATTAACATAACAGGCATGTTTTTGAAACATGGTAGGAAGTAGGCATACATGGAGTAAACTAGTACAGGAAGAACATGCAAACTATTTGGTTCACCTTGCATTAAAAAAAATTGAACTGCTACTTCTCACTAGTCTGGAGTCCCTCAAGGTTCTATTCCTAGAACATTTTTGTTCTTTCATTTTTTTTCTCTCTATCTGACCATCTGGCAGTCATTCTATCTGACCGGTAGCTGTCTCTTTGTCCGTCTGTCAAGCTATCCATCTGGCCGTCCATGCGTGCAACCGTCTGCAAACGTCAAAGCAAGTTTTATCAAGATTCAACCCAGGTTTTACAATTGGCTTCAATTTTACAATGGGAAATTTACCTTGGGAAATCCCACTAAAGATGTTAAGATGTACATATGTGAAATGTTTCAACATCTTAACCATCATTACAAGGGTAAAAAAAGAAGTTACTAAAGCAAAATTTGAACTAAAATCAAGAAAATATACTCTATGAAGAAACCAGACAGATGCATCGCGAGGAACAGCATTTGCAGAGTCACAATAGGACCAATTTCTGAATATTATGGTTATGGAATGTTGAAAACAGCTTTGTTCAGATTTCACTTTATCGTAAATTTGCCGACAGTTTACCTGTCACATGAAAAATCCCATTGAACATATTCAGACATGTATATTAAAGGCAAATCCCATCAGCTAAAGTTGGAATTTGTTGACCTTATATAGGCAAGTTAGGCTCACTTCAGAACTGTCTTTGGAGCCGTCGCCGTTTTTTTTTTTTCTTTTTATGTTCGACAGATGCCATATTTTGCCCATGATTTCTAATTGTAGAAACCAACTACCACCCCCCTTGCTGATTGATGGCCGTATGCAAAGAGTTTCTAAAACTTCACTGGATTTCCTCAAGATGATCTCACCCACTTCTTAAAAGTGACTCAACCCGCATGTAATCGCTTACAGTGATTCTGGAGAGACTTCTAAGCAGAACCAGACCCCGGCCCCACATTACTAGCTGTTCTCGACTTCTTACAAGATCCAGCTGACAAAATGTGAGGTACTCCATGACCTCACCCCCTGGCTTCAGGCTTCCTTGTCCTACATTCCACTTGCTCCTATCCTAATATCAGTCTGCCATCGTTGCCACCAAAATGAATAGACAATATGCGGAACCCGTCTTCCAGTTTGTTCATTGTTGGATTTTAATGTTTAAATTGGGAAAAAAAAACCCATTAATGCACTATACACATTTTTTTACAAAACCTTTATGACAGCCATGATCTCGGCACAATTCCAGAGTGAGTATTTTGTTCTGTCATCAACCTGGGATTGTTCAACTCTGGTTGTGTTTGGCTTTTCCTTTAAGGGTTTGACAGTCTTCCCTCCAAAATTTTACAACAAATAGTAGCATTGTCGGGGATGCTAAGAAGGGTCCACTAAGTACAAAAGAGATGAACAGATTTTGCCTTTTTTTCTTTTTTTATTGCACTGGAGCAAGACAATGTATGCCTATTTTAATGTGGCTGAATGGGGGTCCAACCTGCACGTAAAGAAGGTTGAGTTGGACCGGATCTCTGGAGTCGACGTTTTGGTCCGAGTAGAAGAACTTGCGTCGTAGCAGGAGTGTCTCGCTCTCCTCCACGCCTTGCTCCCTGAACGTCCTGCTGTGGTCCAGCCAATTCACTGGCAAAACAATTTACATTTTCACATAACATTCATATGTATGCATGCATGCACGCGCATTCGATTTTGGTAGGAATCTAAAGCTGGCCTTGCATGCACATGAAGCCTTTTAGTTGGATAGTGCCAATGTCCTTCTTGAAATGCAAACTTTTTAAACATGCATGTGCTTCAGGTTCATTGAAGGCTCTAAATCACAGGTGTCAAACCCAAGGCCCGGGGGCCGGATCCGGCCCGCCAGGTCATTTTATGTGGCCCGCAAAAGCAAATCATGTGTGTCAACTTGCTAAAATCTGTACCGAAATGTCAAATTGTCATGTGTAATAAATAACGTTGAGATTTTGCAATAATTTTGTTACCCTGTTTACACTCACTTGAACAAAAATTGAACAAACTATTATAATTGACTTGAGTGATCTCAAAACTAGTCATCTATTAATTGGTTGTGTATAAGTGATCATTTCGTGGTTTCGCTGTCATAACGGACCTCCAAGGGAAGACGTGACTCCAAATTGGCTCGCGACTAAAATGAGTTTGACACCCTGCTCTAAATTGTCATTGTGCAATTAGTAATTGCAATTCATTGTGGGTTAATGTAAAAAAAAAAATAAAAAAAAAATCTTCACGTCTGAAGACTACAGATTTTAGATAAACTGCAGAGAGACAAGAACGATCCGATTTATTTTCCTGGCCTGTATAATTCTGACAAAACATGTTGCTGTGAAAAACACGTAGAGGCTGTCCATTTTTGTCATTTAAAAAAATTTTACGTTAATGGGGTGTCCGCGTTTTGGCCATCCCATTAAAGTAAAAATGAAATAAATGACAAAAGTTAACATTTGAGTTTTTCCCAGGACGGCAACAATTTGGCATGCTACCTTTTAAAATAAGGATTCTCAAAATCTCCTCCAACAACAATTTGGAGGGAACTCACAGTCATCGTCAGTGTGCAATTTGGCTTTGAGCTTCTCCATCTTCCTCTCGTCGCGTAGCAGCGTTCTGTCCTTCTTCAGCGTTCCCATCCCATCCTCTTTCTTCTCCTCCGCCGTCTCCTGAATCAGCGAGTACTCCTCATAGTTGGTGATGCCTGCAGGTAAACCAAGGGGAAATAGTGATCACAATGGCTTCGATGTGGACTGCGGTTTATTTTTCTCTTAATATAATATGAGCTCCTCACTATTTTTATTGCTTTTGGGCAGTCATGCAAACGCCCCTTTGCTGACACTCATAGAAAATTACATTTAATATTTGTATCCCCAGGCAACGTGAGAGCGATGTGGTTAGCGCGCCCTGCCTGACAGTTCACATGTTCGAGGTTTGAATCTCAGCGCCGGCCAAGTCGTACCTATTCTACTGCATATAGTCACAAGAAGCTCCCCGACTGTTTTGGAGTCATCCACCATGATGGTTTTTATCGCCCCATCCAACATTTTGATTTTCTGGGGCCTCTGCTTCTTCTTGTATTCAAGAATGTCCTGCAAGAAGAGAGAACACAAAGGTAGGAGAGGGAGGAAGAGAGAGATAGAGAGGAGTGAAATGAATGAGCGATGAAGCACAAAGCGAGAACGAATGTGCCCGCGGAGGAAAATGATCATACGGGTCCAGGTTCTCGCAGGGCTGAGACGAGCGAATAGAAGACACAAAAAGCAAATTTAGCGGCTGCCTATCACAGCCCGCTACCTCCTTTCGGTTCAATTACAATGAGGGGAGATTCGGTGCAGAAGGATTGGTCACAGTCATGCATTCTACTTTTGGTGCATTTAGAGGAGAAAACACGATCAGCTCAGTGGATGGCAAGTATCAAAAAAATGAAATAAAAACACAGAGCAGATGTCTCGTCCAAAAGCGATCTTCAAATAGGGGTGATCTTACCCTACTGATTTTGAATGGAGTCTGACACAAGAAAGGTATAGCCTGAGCAAAAGCCTACCGAAGATTTGTTGTTTTAGCAGTGCCATAGTGATCACACACACACACACACACACACACACACACACACACACACACACACACACACACACACACACCAGAATCCAAGAAAAGTTAATTTATTTCAGTCCTGCAGGTCAATTCTAAAAGTCAAATTCATTACACACTTTCATTAAACATCAGAAAATACTTTTCAGAAGGCATATTTCAACCTAATTTCCACATAAAAAAATCATATTGTTAGCTGCAAGCCACGTTTATTTATTTGTTTATTCGTTTAATCATGAAATATTTCAGTTTGTGTTGTGAACCGAAATGAGTTTGACTTTTTGAATTGAACTACGGAAATAATTTATGCTTTCCTCAATGCAGTAGTCTCTTATATTGAGCTGCACCGCGAAGTAGAATGTCACTGTGAATATGGATGATGGTACACTGTCATTTACTGCACTTTTATTTTGTACTTCAATGATTAAATAAATAAATAAATAACAACACATCCAAACGGCGCTATTTACCCCATTGCGCAGCATGTAGTAGTCCAGAGTCCTGCCAGACTCCAGCCAGATGCCTTTTCTGGGGTCTTCATCAGATAGGAACAGACCATAATCCGAAGCTAGAACACAAATGTGAGGATGTTAATGCTGTCATCAAAAAAATGTGAGGAAACCATGTGGACAAATACAGTGACACGCACCATGTAAGCAATCAAGAATGGGTTAGCAAGGCCTCTGAGTTCCGCCAGAATCGCAATTCTTCATTTTCCCAAGACATTTTGGACAATTATATACTTTGCAGGAGCAATTTGTGGAAGGCCCTTTTCTGTTCACACTTCACAGTGCGCAAAGTCCCCTAAAGGCATGCTAGGATGAGTTTGGTGATTAACAACCACCACTGACACATTTAAAATCACCTACACCAGATATGGTGACCCGCCTCTCCCTTTGAGCTCACACATGTTATAAATGGAAAGACAAATAACTAATCATCACCTCGTCACTCTTCATTTTCACTCTGGAGATGCGAAATGGTACGGTGTCCCGATACTTTTGTCTCATGCCAAGTGATATGACAGCTTCCAGCATTCTCACCCTGCCCGGTCTGCGCCTCCGGAACTCTCTCGCGTATGATTCTGCAGGCGTCGTAGACCGCCGTGGATGGCTCGAACTGCATGGTCTTCACCACGTTGCAGTGGCGGACGCAAATTTTCAGTGACAGAACCACCATGTTGGCCGGCGGGGCTGCAGCTACACCTCCTGCATTGAAGAACAGTAATGTCAAAACTACTGATATTTCTTTCCCCATTGAATATTTAATAATAACACCATAACTGTGAAAGCAGTACTAATTTGTGCGGTGTGAAGCCGTTGTTACACTTCTAATAGTAGGGGGGGGGGGGGAACAGCCCACCAAAACGGATACTTTTCCAAGCAGCTGCCCCGATATTGATGCTTTAACACAGGGGTGTCAAACTCATTTTTGTCGCGGGCCACATTATAGTTACTGGTTCCCTTGGAGGGCCGTTATGACTGCGAAACCATATAAGGAAGTCAAGAATAATGGTATATTCAACTGTAGTTTAAGTTACTGTCATGGGGGTTTTGGTAACAATAAAACAATAGCTCTCTTATATATTACATACAAGAATTTGAAATTGTGGGACACATTTTCGCAAGCATCATAGAAGTCAACATGTTTGATTTGCTTTCGCAGGCCACATCAAACGATGTGGCGAGCCATATCTGGCCCCCGGGCCTTGAGTTTGACACCTGTGCTTTAACAAAACAAATCCCCCATTTTAATAAAATCACGATAGCTTTTCATTATAATCACAAATTACGTTGAAAAGAGTTTTAGAAAATAAATGTTCCTTCTTAACTGTCACTTCATTATTGAACCAAGTACATTGCAGAAGTATGTGGTAAAATTGTGTTTTAAACAACTCAAAATTGAGATTTGGCCTTGTTGAAGTATACCTTGGAGGTTGGGATATTATTATGGTAGACTATTTCTACCTCACTTGCACATCAAGAGCAAATGTCATCTTCTTCTTACAGACACAACTAGCATGACGCTAACACATCCACGAGCAAAAAGCATCTCTTGCCATCTATCTTGTCATATAATAGATCCCATTTTCGAGCACTCTAACAGAGTATTTCCTGTCTGGACACCATTGAGGAGCCACAGGACTCCTCTGTGTCTGAGGTTGAAAGTAAAAGGTCAGTATGGGCGAGCCACAGAGGAAAAGAGACAGGCAGGCCTCTCTTCTGGCCCGTCTGGCTGCTGACCCTGACTCACACGTGGAGAATTTGCTTCCTATGTGATATGTGTTCGCACCCGGGGGAGAAGGTGTCGTTCCGCCGCCCAATCTTGGCACCACACTGTGGGGAGGCGCTCAGAATACGACGGGGTACTTGAACATGGGATTCCATCGGCTTCAAAAGTGGAATTACCGATCGCTGAATATTTGTAATGTGCAAGTTTGTCACAGTGAAAACGAAAAAAAAAAAAAACCCGGTAAACCACAGCTTTACAAATCGATATTTACATTATATGTACACATAAATGACAGACAGGCCTTTGCATACGTATCTGTGAATGGAACGACTTGTTCACGTCTGAATGTGAATGGAAAAAACGATTTTTACACTGTGCTTGAATGTCTCAACAGATGTTTTCTCCTTCGATGACTTGTTCACATGACATGTGAAATGAACACAGTTTTACGCTGTGTTTTGTGAGACCGTTTTTAAACTTTGTGCATGTGAATCATTTACATGATGCGCTTGTGAATGAACAGTCAGGCGTTTGTGTAGATGTGCTTATCATTGGACAGACATTTACTGGACACCGTGCACGTACAGTGGATAAAAAAAAAAGTCTTCAAACTACTGATCGAATGCCAGATTTTTGTGATATTTAAAAAAAAAAAAGGACACCAATAATTAAAAATATGTGACAGCTAACCTCTTTAAGGGGTGAACTAATTATAAATAACGAATATTATGGTGGTGGCCTGGTGGGTCAGCGGTCAGCGGTGAGCGTGTCGACCTCACAGTGAAGAGGTGGTGGGTTCGATCCCAGCTTCGGCCTTCCTGTGTGGAGTTTGCATGATCTCCCTGTGCCTGCGTGGGTTTTCTCCGGGTACTCCGGTTTCCTCCTACATTCCAAAAACATGCATGGCAAGCTGATTGAACACTCGAAATTGTCCCGAAGTGTGAGTGTGAGCTCTGTGTGCCATGCGATTGGCTGGCAACCGGTTCAGGGTGTCCCCCGCCTACTGCCCGAAGACAGCTGGCATAGGCTCCAGCACCCCCGGCGACCCTTGTGAGGATAAAGCGGTTCAGAAAAAGGATGGATGGATAATATTATAGTGTGTGTGCATGCACACACTTGTAACAGTGGCAGGTGTGTGCTGATTCATATTTAACATGAATTTGAATGTGACTGGTTAATTCTGAACACAGCCCCGTTTACAGTTATAAGAAGGTGTTCACACTTATGAAACATTATCTCGTTGTTTAAATGGATCCTCAGCCCCAAAAAGGGATGGGGGGTGGGGGAGTTATACAAGTTGTAGGTCACAATAATGGCGCAAAACGTTTTTAAATGGTTTACCTCGGCGTGATTTGTTGCTATTACAAAAATCCGCCATTTGAACAGAGGTGTGTTGACTTTCACTGTACGCGAAGCGGCAGACCAATTGGTAAACGGATAGTGTGTGTTGGGTGTGTGCGTGTGCCCGTGCAACAGGACAGCCAGATGATTATGAGTCGATGCGGATGGAACAACACTGGATGCGAAACTTTTCTTTTGTTTGAGTTTTTTACAAGTTTATTTTTGTGACAAATGTCCAGGAAAGAGCACAACCCGGCCCTCATACTGTACATCTTAAGGGTACGTGCCAGGAGAGGACAATTAATAACTCTGTGATGATTAATAACCGACAGTCAGCTTCTTCCCACACTATCACCCGCCAGCACAAAGCCTCGCTCGTCTTCCAAATGCACCGGGTGACACCTACACTGTTTTATCTACTGCAGCTTCACATTAAAAAGCGCATTCTTACATTTTTTTCTTACCCCGCTGTTTGCATTTTGAGGCAAGCTCAAAGCCATGGAAAATTATTTTATCGCAGCAGAGAGACTTACTACATTTTAATGCTACAGTACGTAACTACTGACTTAACACTAAACTATAATTCGCAGAAGCTAAGTTGACTACGATTATTCTCTATAGTAATATAACAAAACAAAAACATTTGACCCCATTGACCAAATTCCCTCTAACAGGCAGAGTGCCAACATGAGTCCTGACATGTAAACAGAGGCAGAAAGCCGGAGCAAGCCGCCATTGTTCAATAGATCAATGATGCAGCGCACATCCAGACCTTATTACTCTAACATGGCCTCTAATCCAATAATAGCACAGCCCACAAGTCAGCAGGCCATTCTACACCGGTCCCGAGCCAGAACGCATCAACTTGATATTTGGCAATGGGCATGTCGCTAACCTAGTTTGTGCAAATGAACTGGGCCAGAGCACTGTGGAAATTAGTCCATCTGCCTTCTCTGGTTGGCCAATAATTTTGTTTCCGTGAAACAACTTTGTGTTTCCAGAGAGCAGATGTGCAGCATGTTGTCGCTGGCTTCAGGTAACGCCCACTTGGCCAGGAGCGAGAGAGAGAAAGATAAGAACTTGCCGTTTAATCATTTTCAGCAGGACGCGCAACCGCAATTAAAGTTTAAAAGGAGACAAGAAAATTACAGCAAATGGTTTCATGGTGATGAGCTTGAAGTTCCGGAAACAAAGCAAAGAACAAAGGAAATGATTCACTTCGCAGCTATTGTGATTATTGTGGACCTTTTGAACACCACATGACTATATAAGCTAGTGGAAGACATTATCTTCATTTTCACAGTTAAGCATTCACAAATGCGTGGATTTTTTTTTGGGGGGGGGGGGATTACCTACTGCTGTTCTCTGAAAACTCATCCATTTGCTGGTTTGTGCTCAGATCAAAGCAATGAAAGTATTGCTTTGGCACCATTTGGTGGCATTTTGGTGCCAAGGAAGGATGTTGAAGTGAGTTGAGGAGTATCACTTAGAGCAGGGGTTGTCAACCCAAAATGTTGATTGAGCCATATTGGACCAAAAAAATAAAAAACAAATATGTCTGGATCCGCAAAAAATTAAAAGCCTTACAATGAAGATGAAATCCTGCAGAGCAGGCGTGTCCAACCTTTTTTGACCGTAGATCTACTTTTCGATCAACCAATCTCCCGCGATCGACCCGTTATGCACACGCGCGCATACGCACACACTTACACATGCATGCCATAATAAGCAACAGCCATAAGGGCCCCTAAGATGATCCAGGCATGGGAAGCACTTTTGCAGCGTGTTAACTATCGTAGCTGATGTGTATCGTTTAAAAATGCTTCTCTCAGCCCTCCACATTCCCATTCTTTGCCAGTACCCTCTGTGAATTGTACATGAAATGCTGTTTTTTTTTTTTTTTTCCACAACAGCCACCTGCCTGGCATCCCGTCCTGCTAATAGCAACGTGTGCTGCAGGCTATGACGCAAATCCTCGTTGACAGAAATGTTGAAATGTAATATTTATTCGACACATTTTTACAGCATTGGAAAACATTATGAATGTTTGTGTCATGTTTGTCCTGCAGAATATTAAAACAAAAAACATATTTCCCTCCCCCATCTTCTTCCATTTTCAAACATTTTTGAAAAATCCACTAGGGCGGCGCTAAAGAGCCACATGCGACTCTGGAGCCACAGGTTGCCGACCCCCGACTTCAAGATAATAGTGTACAAAATGTAAATATCAGTCTGCCCATTCGGATAGACAAAGAACATCCATTCATACATTTGTATTCAAATCAAATGAGCTCAAAAAGATATGTGTCACATCGACCGCATTTCTGTGCAAACTACTTGATGAGAAGGAGCCAGATGTATTCCAGAGTCAGTGTTTGTGCAAACACAAGATAAGCAGGAGACTTCTGCTACAGTCCTCGTCCCACACACAGTTCAGGTTCATGAGGCGGGAGTAGGCTGCAATTTTAAAGAGCCCATTTTCAATTTGTTTTATTATTGTAACTTTTTTTTTTTTTTTACAGCCAAGCATTGGCATCCTGCTCCTGTTCAGTATTTATGACGTGACTTCAATTCACATTTCATCTCCACTCTGCAAATGTAGCCATTACACTGGACACGTCTTTCAAGTCAGAATACGACACATTCGCCAGTAATGGTTCGCTCCATGGTGCTTTTTTTTTTTTTTTGTTGCCTTTGTGTGCACACGAAGGAGGAAGAGTGATGCAGGTGATGGGTGTGAGGTTTCATGCAGCAGGCAAACAGTTGTTAACCACTCCGTCTGAACTAACACAGCTTCAACATTCACCACCATCCACCCATCTCTTTCTATATTTTCCCCCATCATTTCACTGGGAGGGACAGGAAATCGAATCAGTGAAGCCTCTCGAGCACAAGAGGAAATCAGCTTGAGATTTAAATGCAAACTGCAGTCCATCTTTTTGGCACATTTGTTAATAGCAGGCCAAATTTTAAAACCAAAAGTATCATGCATAATGTAAACATCTGCCAATTCACACGCACCTCAAAATCGGCCATTTACAGACACACTATGTAAAGATGTGTCACTTGACATACAGTACATAGACATGAGGCTCTATTTTTGTAGATAGGCGCTCATGCTCGCGGCAAACCTGACAATTTGGTGACCAAAAGTAGACTAGACCCTGCGACCAGATAAAAGCAGGTCTAAGTTGTGGCGCAGGTGCTGTAACATGATGAAAGAGGTTTGGTGTAACATGATTTTTGGTGGATCACACACAGATGCACGATCGGCGGTGGAACATACATAAAAATCTATTTGCCCAATCACATAAAACATGTTTGACCCTTCAGACACAAAATATCAAAATCGGTCTGCCCATTCACATACATTCTTAATCGTTAACTTTGACAACTTCACAAAATTCTACCAAACAATTGTGGCGTAAACACTTCAACTTTTTGTGTTTGATGAAACAATGATAAATAGAGATTTGGACTGCACTTCTTAAGCACTGAACAGGAAATCAACCAATTAATCAATATTTAAATAAATAAATAAAATATCCATACATGTCAAAATAAAACCTACCGTCCAACCATTTTTTTCCTCACAAGGGTAACCTTGGTGTTTGTAAATTACATTCTACTACATTTTGAATCTGATTATTTGCTCAACCCTAGGACACATCCAATGGGAGCCTCTGTCCATTCAAACGCAACATCAAATGTGTTTCCAAATTCACATACACAATGTCAAAAATGGGATGGGAAAGTGTGTATGTCCCCTCTACAGTGGAAACGACAGTCATGAAATGTGTTCATACAGTCATTCGGATCAGTGTTGGTTAACAAAGTAAATCAGATGTTAATACTTGTTTTATAGGAGTGCGTGCATATGGCAACCTTCACGTCACATATGTAGGTCAGTACAAGAATGAGTAACAAAACAAACACAAATAATTGTTCTCATTTGTTGACATAAGGGAGTGACTTGCAAACGTGCATGTGGAGAAAGACAAACACATCATGTCAAGTGCAGCGTTGATGTAACGTCACACTATTGTGCTCCGCTTTGCTCACAAGGGTAGCCAATGGAAAAGGACGCTTAAACAGACACCATCTTGGAAAGTGACAAGATTGGACGGTGGAAAACAGAGTGGAAGGAGGAAGACCTGAGGGAATGTGAAGTCAAGCCTTCACTTTTATGGAGCTCTGTTAGCGGTGGTTGTTTTAAAGTGCTCTATAAAGACAGTTGAGTTGAGTTAAATGCCAGTAGAGGACATGTAACTGTGAACAAGCTTTTCAGGTCACGCAAAAAATTTACAATAGAAATCAATAATGTGTCATGCCCCCCCCCCCCCAAAAAAAACGACATAAGCTGCAAGATTTGTCAACTTTTATTGTAATGCTGACATTGTGTCTCTCTGGGGTCTGTTAGGTTTAATTAACAATGAGCTCAGATGCAGATCTAGCCTGATCCGTTTACTTGCTGCTGTCTGCTTTAACGAGAGCTCTTTGAATTCTATTTGTAAAGTGATATATCGCAATTACATTGCTTATTGCAATCTTAGCAATGAGAATAATGGTGTTACAATAATAATAACAAGGAATGCTTTTCGACATGGACATGTTTGGAGAAAAAAACAGTCACAGAGCAATGTGTGCCAACTTGTGATTTTGGAAAAAAAAGCAGATGTGTGGAGTTAAAAAAAAAAAAAAAAAAGTTACAGACAAGGCTGCCATGCGGGCCTATGCTTGTCATCCACAAGACGTCGACAGTACCCGAAAGAGCAGGTGATTCACTAAACGGGAGTCTGCCGGTCACGTCACAGCTAAGGATAGTCTCAAAAGTCAGACAGTTACCCGATCTAGCGACTCATCCGCCGTCGCGGTGTCCTTGCAGCACTGGTAATTGCTCCCAGTGAGCAAGACTTTCTGCTTCAGTGTCAGCTTGTCAGTGAGGATCTGGAGAAATCTCTCCATTCGTAGAAAGCAATTTTTTACTCAAGGAATTATTATCCTCAATCAAAAATACACATGCCGCCCCCCCCCAAAAAACCTAAGCCTTCTTCTAGCCAATAAAGACATTGAGTGAACTCATGCATCATAACGGACAGCCATTTGACTTTTTATCTCACGCACCCCTGGGGAGAGTTGCTTTGGACGCCTGCTGAGCTGAAGTGTTATGAGATTCAATGGCGAGTTTTGGAGACACATTATGTGGTGCTTATTTTCCCCTATTGCCCAAATTGAGCAACAGGAGGGCTGTTTTTCCCCCCCCAATACAGTTCCACTGTAATGTGCATCTACAAGAAACGAGCCGTTGTTAAACAATTCAATCGAGGGATATCAAACCCTAATTAGGTCCTTGTCAGACCTTTACGAGCAGGACAAAAAATTAAAAGGCGCTGGGGGGGAAGGGTTGTCAGCATTTTTTTAAACATGGCACGTCACATCAAAAGGATTGTACATTTACAGCAACCACTCCTGAGTGCTTAAGGCTCAGATCTGATGAGGGGCGTCCACGCAGTGAAACCGACGGGGGACAAACGTGTGTTAGGTCAGCTCATTAAAAAGACTGCAAAGTGAAGATGCGCCGCTGGAACGCCAACCCCATCTGCGCTGGAGAACCAGATGCGGCCGCTTAATTGGCCTGTGAAAAGCACCTTGCCGAGTCAGCTTATGCAGGCATGCCAGGGGGGGTGACGATAGTCAAACACTCTCAGACTTAATTTTAGAGGTAAAATGAGTCGAGACTATTGAAGGGGACCTAGACAGACTTAAAGATGAGTTCATTTTCTTGCAAGAAACAACAACAACAACCATGTAACAGCAGCTGCATACCTTACTTGTCGGAGCTTCTTTTTTTTTTTTTTTTTATCCCTGCGCAAGGTCACGACCCATTATCTTCACGAAACATGAACTATGCTCTCTGACTACCAGTGCTCTCTCTTAACGCAGGAAAAGGCTTTTGTCTGACTTCATCATCCTCTGATTTAATCAAACAGGACCAATGCCCTCGACCCCAAGTCAACGGTCAAATCAGTCATTAGTCAGTATTTAAGCAAGTCACATTATTTAGGATTAGTACAGACACTCATCTATGCTTGTATTTATTTTCCATCACGTCATCACCAAATAAAAACCGAAATAATACACATGATGCAGGGTGATACCTCCATTGAGAATCTCCAGACCAGGACAGTAGAGTTAGAGCATGTAAACGCCACAAGGGTGGGCCGGAGATGAGATTCAAAGCCAGAACTTCACAACTGTGAGGCAGACGCGCGAACCACCTGGCAGACTCACCGTTAACATTTTTCAAAGAATTAGAGACCCACGTAGGCACCCTGTAACCTGATAACATATGCTGTCCACTGTAGTAACCGCTGTCCCTGAAAGGGTTAACCAAAGTTGGACATGGGTGATTTCTGCCTGACAGTGACGATATATTTTTCAATTAATGCAACATTGGGAACTAATTGATCAACACATACAAATAGAAAGCAAATAAATTTAGACTGTTCACATGAAGACCATCTGCTGTCAATACACCACCACGTTTAGCAATAAATAAAAAATAAATGTTTTAATTCACAGCAATTAGCTTCATGTTACCAGGGCAACACTCAGACAACGGCTAAAAACGCTCTTTTTAATTCTGCGAGAAAACGTGCTTCGTCACTCTTGTGTTAATTGCATCCCATCTGCGGCGATGACACGTGCTAACATGCAAAACTTACCTATTCGCTGAAATGGAAAAGGCCCGCCTTCCTTCCTCGTGCGCGTGCGCTGATCTTCACAGCTGAAACGACACACGGTGGACTTTGAGATATCGACCCGCATACGACTAGCCGTTAAACGTGCAATTGGAATGCAAACGCTTCAGTGAAGTGACATTTCATGACAATTAACAGCGGCGTAATTGAGTGAAGCCGTGTTACCGCTCACTACAGAAACAGGTCGATGCAAATACAGTAGTAAGTTCTCCATGAGCAAAAGCTTACACCCCCCCCCCCACCAAAAAAAAAAAAACTGTCCCATCGTGCTTCAATGGTGTGATATTGGACTAAAGGGCATGGTGAAAATAAATGCGGGCGGCATTGACAGTGTTCTGTCGTCACCTCCTCGTGCGCTGCATTGGCAGTTAATGGATTGGCATTCTATTCTCTGTGCAAAAAAACCCCAAAAAACATTAAAATTAAAATTCAATAAGGGATGGCTATCTAGACACAAGTATTTGGACGCCTGGCTATTCCGTCAAAACCTGTTATCAGTCAATACAAAAAAAGAACATCATTTTGGTTGATATTAAGAAGCATGCAGCTTCAAATTCGGTGATTAAAAGAAATACCAGAAAAACAGCAAAATATTTTAGCGTTGTTAAATGACATTTTTTTGAAAAATGTAAATGTATCTGTGCTGTCTTTTTTTTTTTATGTTAATGGGGTGTCCGAAATGCAGACACCCTTTTAATGATTATGACATCACATACTGTATACTTTTTTTTAACAATTATGACATGCGGTTAAATTTTAAGAATAAATAAATAAATCGTCCTCTACTTTACAAAAGTACACTTTCATTCATCTTACCCTTTAATTTGTTATTATTGTTATCAATTATATTGATTGTGATTGTCTTTTCATTATACTAGCATAGAAACATAAACAAAAACAGATAAAAATTGTGCATAATACCTTAAACACCAGATTTCCTCACCCGCTAATGATGAACACACATTCTTTCAAGTGACTTGATTTTTCTTTTTGGCTTCGTTTTTTTTCTTCTAAAATTAGTCTCCAAATTGCCATTTTGCTACAAATCCGATTGCGACAAAAGAAAGTTCAGTTAAATGGCTACACTGGTGTTAATGTACCGGAACTAAAAATGGGTTCATATTTTTACAGCCAACTTTTTCAAGTGGCGGATTTTTAGGGGTTTAAGCGTGTGGAGCAGCAGCATGAAGACAAGGATAATTGGAATATCCAATTCTGTGCAGACCCCCGAGGAAGCAGCTGCGGGCAGACGGTTAATGACATTGGGCTGTAGGTGACAAACAGCTCTGTACATGCTGCAGACTAATGGAGGACAAGAGAGAGATGCTCTCAAGGTGACCCAAAGGAAAAATGAAAACGGGCTGGTATAATCAATGATGCAAAGCGGCACACTGTGGTACTCGTTTGTTTTACAAAACGTGCAGGGGGATTCATTTTCTTTCCATGATGCATGGTCTCTCATCTGACGAGGCTTCCAAATCACATTGCAGACGTTCAGATAAGAGCAGCTGCATGCAATGACACCGTGCTGCTAACCACTAAGCCCGCCTCCTCTCGACTGGGCTCGGGGTTAACGTACGCCATCATCCCAAGTGTCACTTACACACAGGAAGCAGGCTCACGTTTCCTACAGCCACTGACTCACTTTTGAGTTTGAATGGTGATGGTGTTCCCCGGAATGTGTGTGAAACTGCCACACGATGTTGAACGAATGAGGGAAAAAAATAATGTGTTTCAGTGTACATTAGCGGTGTGACATTTCTTTGTATATGATGCAGGATTGCAAAGGGGAGGAAAATGTCTGGACAATTTCCGTGGGAACTTAAACTGGGGAATTTTTGGAAATATTTCGATTTGTACAATAATGAATATAGATATTTTGTTTTGTCCTCAGCGTGAAGCAGACGTCCATGCAAAATAGATAGCTCCTTGCGTACATGCGAGGGGATTAATGTACCTTTTTTTTCCACTTCATTTGAGTAGCGGCATGTCAGAATGCTTATTCAGGCTGAATTCATTAAAAAAAAAAAAGGAGCTTGCATGTTCTCCCCATGCCTGTGTGGGTTTTCTCCGGGTACTCCGGTTTCCTCCCACGTTCCAAAAACGTGCATTGCAGGTTAATGGAACATTATAATATGATAAAACTAATGAAATGTCAAAATATTAAGAGAAAGAATTTTCTCTTACTAAAGTTGTAACATTAGCACAAAAGAGTTTTTAAAACGTGTCACACTGCAAGAAAAAAGTCGGAATATGATTCTTAGAAAATTCCGTTCCAATATTATGAGGGAAAAAAAAGTTTGGAGAATGAAGCCGCAAGAATACGAGAAGTTGAGAATTTTAAGTTATTATGTTCCAGGAAAACCAACAAGCAATTTTATGAAAATAAAGTTGGAATTTAACATGAATATAACATAATGGGGCGGCCCGGAGGTCTGGTGGTTAGCGCGTTGATCTCACAGTGCAGAGGTACCGGGTTCAATTCCAGCTCCGACCTCCCTGTGTGGAGTTTGCATGTTCTCCCCGGGCCTGCGTCGGTTTTGTCCGGGTACTCCGGTTTCCACCCACATTCCAAAAACATGCATGACAGGCTGACTGAACACTCTAAATTGTTCCTAGGTGTGAGTGTGAGCGCGGATGGTTGATCATCTCTGTGTGCCCTGCGATTGCCTGGCAACCGGTTCAGGGTGTCCCCCGCCTGCTTCCCGAAGACAGCTGGCATAGGCTCCTGCACCTCCGCAACCCTTGTGAGGATAAAGCGGATCGGAAAATGAATTAATGAATGAATAAAACAATATGTAAGTAAAATCTGACGATTACAAGAAATGTGGCATCCTTTTTACACATATACATTTGTCATATTATGAAAGTAAAGATACAAAATCGAACTGTCTCAAGAGCCTAGTCTGAATCTAATGAGTTATGCGAGATGCACTCGTTAATGTCTTCTTAACAAGCTTTGAAGATGGTCTCCTGAGGATCAAAGCTACATTAAAGTAAAAAGGAATCCCTGCAATATGCAGACCACATTGTGATGGAGAAACACTAATCCCGCTCCCTTTTGCCTTTAGGAAAATCAATGTGAACATTCCACACAAAAAGAGAGAGACAAAGAGAGCGAGAGAGAGAGAGACAGCAAAAGCTTATCTTGAGCAACTTCACAGACATTTTGGATTCCTGAAAGAGTTTGCTTCCCAAGGCAAAACGCTGAGTTGAGGAATCAAGTGGCGGCGGCAGATCAAAGTGAACAACCAGCCGAAGGTTGATCACAATGAAATGAAATGACGGGGAACACTGGTGATAAGTGGGGAGCAGGGGTTCGTGCAAGAAAGTCAAATATGTCGCTTGGGAATTCATTGTGTAGACAATCTCTGCGAGAGCTCAGACAACATGGTGCCCCCTTTTGCAAAAATAAATTGGAAAATGTCCACCCGCTATGTGTGTGAAGGGGAGTATGTCTGGGTCAAGGTGGGGTTCAGCATCTTGGCACCGTCACGTTTATTTGAAAACATGACCGCAATTCATCACTGACAGGCTCGGAGACCAGCTTTCAGGGAACTTAACATAACAAAATGACTTTTTAATGTTTTGTATTTAACCTACCACCCCCCAAAAAAAGAAAAAAAAATGTAAAAATCCTAAGATCCAAAATCTTTAAACCCCTTTTCACAAGTTCTGATAAAAACCATATGGCAAAGTTCACCACCTACACTAGCACCAAATACACAACTACTGTCGAGCAAAATCCTCCACGTGTCAACCTTTTCCATTCATCTGGACCTCCGTCCAACAGAGCCTCATCTTCTTTGCAAATCTGATTTGTTAGGTCGCTATTTTGCCCTTTTTCCGAGAGTTGAGGACATCTGGAGTGCAGCTGTTGCTATGCATCAAATGCTACACACACACATACACACACACACATACACAGTTGCAACATAATGGACTCAGCAACAGAGGTTAATGGGTCAGGAGTCTTGTGTCCAGGCACACCATTTAATCTGTGCGAGCTACAGACGAGCTGTGGTAATCAAACACCAACACAAGTAGAATGCTTTCACTAAAATAGGCAGAGATGCCAACACACACACACACACACACACACACACACACACAGTGGAGTACCACTCATGTCGCTTCTATACAAGGCAACCAACCATTCGACACTCTCTTGGGACAGCAGAGATTTTCACTGATTAGTGCTGCCCTTGCAGAGGAAGTGTGTGTGTGTGTGTGTGTGTGTGTGTGTGTGTGTGTGTGTGTGTGTGTGTGTGTGTGTGTGTACTAATTCACTTACAGCCTCTCAATTCCTGTTCAGTCCAATTCCACGAATGGAATTAAACACGTACAGAAAATCCAATTGAGAACTTGCTTGCATTGGCATTTGATGAAATGTATTGATCTTTCAATCACGACAACATTTTTAAATGTTAAATATTGACACTCTTATCGGTACCGTGATAGTCGTCCTCCCTAGCAACCAACATAAACATGTGTGTGTATAAGAATGTCTGTTAATTTTGAATATTATTTTGGTGCTTCATTTTCATAATACAAAAATCCCACAAACATATGTGACAGAATTTGGTGATCATCTTTTTTGATTGTTTGTAACACTTTCATCTGATTCCCATACACTGATAAATGCGTGTATAAGTTTGCCTTGACAGCAAAAGTACACTGCTGGAATTCTAATGACAGATATTAAAACTCAGCACACTCTTTACAGCACTTTGCTTTTCTTTACAACATGAAAGCTGTAAATACCCCCCCCCCAAAAAAAAGGCTAAATAGACAAGGCAATATAAAAGGAGAATTAAAAAGGATGATTTCTAGCCCCAAAGCAAATCCGAACCACTATTAAAGAGTCATTTCTTTCTAAAGGACTCCTCCTGTGAGGATATATTACATTGGCAATGTTCCAGTGTCACAATAATAAATAAAATGAAGAATCACAGGCATCACCATATGAGAAAGGCTGCGTGGGAAACAAAACAAATGAGTTTTACAGATCCCAAAAAAAATTGCT